TACTTCGATCACTTGTGTCCAAACTTCATGCTCAAATGATCTGCCGCCATCTTGATCGAAATACGTGCGCTGCTTGTGACAGCTACTAACCGACTGATTGAGAAATTTCCCCAATCGCGCTACGCACGAGGCAACGTGCAGGGCGGTTGGGACAATCTAGTGAGCAAGGGTGGTCGCGCGCTCCTGCCGCCTTGCCCCAGGCCCGATTTAGTAAATTGCTCCAACTTGCCTACACACATCACAATTCAGGAGGCAATTAAGGGTCATCCCCACTCTTACACCCTAGATTGTCCCTGCGGCAGGCATGTCAGTAGGCGCTTTAAGTCAGTTTGGCCCAGTAGTTTTATTTATGAGCGTTGTAATTTAAATGATACTTTGTATACATCTTTTTAGGGATTTTATGTACCTATATATAGGCGCTTTACACTAAAATAGATAAAGTAAAAATTATATTTAAACATAAAATTAAAACTGACTTCAAAATTTAAAATGGAACTGAAAAGTAAAAAAATAATACTTATCCGATTCACAAGAAATTATGAAATCGGGTGGGTTGTAGTCTTGTTGTAGTATGATTTGGAAGTCGGGCGGGGTTAAGATTAAAACATACCTTTTAAATATTAAAATCTACTCCATTCAATATAATTTCTTACTTTTAAATGGATATTTTGTATTTTTAAGTCCGCTTTTATATTTTGATTGTATATCAAAGAAACGACACACAGGCAAATGAGGCAGACATGCCGCTAGGTGGCGAGAGGTCATTGTGGTCCACAGACTTTTTCATAACTGGGAATACGGTTCGGATAGGTAATGCTTACTAAAACTCTTATAAATAAATAAAGTATACTATTTTATGAGCGTTATATTAGTACATCACTATTAATGAACTGCAATAAACCGGCAACACAGGACGTAATGTTATTTTTGTCTCTTTAAATTTTTTTAAATTAAAAAACAGACTAGTATGGAACAAAATCCTTGTTCTTTCTGATTAGTACTAAAAACTAACACAAAACAGTATTTCTTATTCTAGTCGTATAACAACAAGTTAATGAAACAAATTTAAATTACAGTAGAACCCGTTAAATACGATCACGCTTAATACGATTTCTCGCATAATACGCCATTTTGCGTCAGTCCCTGCAACTTGAGACATGTTTTCATGCATTTCTGAATGCAGTAGGTATGTGCCGAAACAAAAACACAACTTGCTTGCGAGAAATTATACGGCCAACCAGTATTACTTTTCTCTATGCGGCCAACTACTTACCGCGGGTGTCCGCATTTCTTTTGAATATGTGAGTGTTACTTTATAACGGTCGCACAAACCAAACCCAAAACCAAGTATGTCACAGGAACAAAATCAAAAAAAAAACCTAGTTATACCACGTAACAGTTAAGTAGGGGAAACTGCCCAATCATTGGCACTCTTCCTATATTGGCACTTTTGAGTTTAGTTCGAAAAAAACAGGAAACAATAGACTGTAGGAATAATGCTGCCAATTTTTAAATTTCGTAACCATACTAGGTTTTTCTTTTTAATATGTAACGACCTTGAATAATCTATTGTCTCCTTGTATTTTTCGAATTAAACTCAAAGTGCCAATAATAGGACGAGTGCCAATGATTGGGTGGTTTTCCCTATGTCTCATACTGTGTTTTGATTTAGTTTCTGAGACATACTATTTTGATGTGGTTTTTAGTGCTATTTTGTAGCTTACTAGGTTTAAACTTCTTAAATAATTCAGGCTCAAGGCGACATTTTATACAGTGTTAGAAGGTGAATCAGGACAGCTAAAAAACATTTTTTTTCCGAGTTCCGCCTTTTTGTGTTTTGGTTTTCGGCAGCCGCATTGCTTGAACTTACTAAGTACCTAAAGCATCCTATGGTCCTTACCATGGCCTTTCATATCACATAAGCAAGTAACTAGTAAACAACATGGTACCCTATACGTCCTAATCTATTCAGGAATTTAGAAGTTATAATGGTATAAAGAAACGAACATACCAAACATGCATGAACTTTGAAAACAAAACTACTATTCTGGCAGTCGTGTAAAAAGATGGACCGTTATAGTCCGGGAGGCACCAATCCTGAAAGCTCCGTGACACGGATTCTAATATTTTTAATAAAAAATAAAAGTTAAAGCTTAGACGAACAAGATTTGCTTGGTCGGCGTGGATTTGATTGGCCGGAAATATTTTAATTAAAATATTTATTATTAAAAATTCCATATTTTTTTTCCGTCTTCACGGATTTTGATCAATCTTATATAGAATTTTGTGTGAAATATTATGTTCAACAAGAAAAAATCTGGCCGGCCAATGATTTTTAGCCGGAAAGGTCACGCATACCTATTTGAATGGTGTGATAAGGGGTAAAATTTCATCCATCATCACGGAAACCTTTATTATTATTTTTAATTCACGCGTTTTAATGTCACATTTATAATTATCTTGGTATGTGTGCTTACAAACTGCCGAAAGTATCGCGCATATCAAAGGACATTGCTCGTTCCCCATACATTAAATGCCTCAGAACGCACAGCAATGAGAAAATACTAGTTGTGTTCGGAATCATTTATAAACTCTCATTAGACATTTGTTGAGATACGGACAACTTGAGGAACCGTGGCCTTCTACAGAATGTATTAGATTTTGAGGTTATAATTATTATATTTAATCGTTAAAGATGTACACTTTATATATTCTGAATAGACTCTATGTAAGCACTTAAATAATATGCATTATAAATATAATAAGAAAGTATAACCTACAACAAAACCAACAACAGAGCTGGTGCGGCTTGTGAAGCGGCTAAAAAAGCTAAGGCAGGCAAATACAGGGGTCTAGGCTCCGAATATGATTTTATCCCATTCGGTGTCGAGACCCTTGGTCCGTGGGGTCCTAGCGCTATAAGGCTTTTTAAAGAAATAGCAAAAAGATTAGTCGACATCACAGGAGACCGAAGAGCTGGCAGCTACCTCGGACAAAGAATTAGTCTAGCTATCCAAAGGGGGAACGCTGCCAGTATCTTCGGAACCTTGCCTAAAGGGACTCCTTTTAATAATGTATTTTAGTTATTATATTTTATTTTTTAAGGTTTTTAGTTTTAGGTTCATTGTTATAGTATATTTTTTGTTTTAATTATTCTTAAATTTGTTCATATTGCACCATATTGTTATATGCATTATATGAACATAAAATGCAATTAATAATTAAAATAATAAATGCTTAAATAAAAAAATTCCTGTATTCCCTCTTTTCCATATTAATTAGTATAAGTAATAAATAGTTAAAAACTTAAGGAAGAGACCAGAGGTAAAAGAGAGACTCTAAAAGAAATGTCATCAAGTAAGTGAAATCTATAACAGTATAATCCTCACTCACACAATAAAATTTGGTATGCGCGATACTTTCGGCAGTTTGTAAGCACGCATACCAAGATAATGTGACATTAAAACGCGCGCGCGTGATAATGGATAAATTTTACCCCTGATCACACCATTCAAATTTCAGGAATACGTGACCTTTCCGGCTAAAAATCATTGGTCGGCCGGATTTTTTAAGGCTATATAAGATTGATCAAAATCCGTGATGACGGAAAAACAGATTACTTATGTAGTATCGCACCAAAATCATTTTACTTACGGTAGACCATTAGACCGGAGTTCTATAATAATATGATATGAACTTATTACGGTTAATCAGTATAAACTTACAGACACTGCCCAAACTTATTGGTAGCTAATTGGGTCAGGCCGTAAATTTTGCCACATTAGTTATAACATAACTCTCCGCCACATTTTTATAAAAAAGTACGGTAATTACATTTTTTTTCAATAACAGAATCATATTTCCTCACAAATGGTGAATCGCGATCAATAAATATATTTAAATATCTCCAAAACTTAGAAATTTATAAATAATTTTGCTACAAAAAGCGACGAATTTTTCGTAAAATACGCTTATCCGTCCCGGTAGAGGTGAACTTTGAGCATCAGTAAAATCAAATATAAAAATCTTTTTGACAGTCTGTTTGCTTTACGCTATACAATAATAGTTAGCTAGCTACATTTTAAATATCGTTTCCTATTACCTAAGAAATTTCATAAATTTTCACTCATTTTCGAAAAACGTTAAAATCCATTCCTTTGCGCTACTTTTTATTGCGCAACTAATAAATGCCCATTTGGTTGTGTTTAAAAAATAGCAGTATTCAAGTCTGAGTAGTGGCAACACCGAACATACTTTGTCTATGGTCAATACGCTGTCAGCGGTCATATTTTTTTCAGTCCAACATCAACATCGTTTGAAAGAAGGAAGTGTCATATTTTTTGCGGAGAGTGTTTTTTGATATATCACGGTAAGTTTTTGATTTATATCTATACTTATTATTGCGCACGATTTAATGAAATGTTTGACATCTTTCAAGGCTTAATTTACATTAAAAAATAGCTTATTTATCAAGTTATAATGGGTTTTGTTTGCGCAACAGTTGCGCAAAAATTACTTTATGCAACTTTGCGATACCAGGGGCGTAGAATTTGCGCTACTAATTTTACGCTACCAAATAAAGGAGCTTACACACATAGGCTTGCAGGTGTTTTTTTTAGCTTTTGTAATATTTGTGTTTTTTTTGAGGTTTCGATTTTAGTTCCTGGGAAGGAATTGTATTTCTAGCAATAGAACTCTCCGCTTTTTTGTAACACCTTTTAAGACTTAAAGATAAGAGTAAAATTTGACGTTTGTCATACTTACCTATTAAAAGTGTGTTTTATTTTGTAGCACTGTCCTTACGTTACATATCTTGTATACACTCCTTAACAATTTTGCGTCACTCTGCGCTATGGTCTCGTAGAAATTTTTGCGACACCATTGCACTATTTGTGGCAAAATCTACGGCCTGACCCAATTGTCATTGAACATCTATCACCTGCACCACTCAATATCAGCTGTAAATGTGTCATAGATGTTTCACAATAAAAACAAAAAGATAGAGGATATTTTTTATTAAAACAATTCCCAAACACGCTACTACATTAAAGATTATTGTATAAAATAAAATTATCAATTTTATATATCAAACAAAATTCAATAAAGAATAAATGTAAAATCCAATCAAAATATAAAAGTAAATAACGGAATGTTCATGTAGAAATGCAGTCAGCACTTAATTTGTTATACTGGTTACGCCACTTTTGTAACTCCAGTTATTTTATTATTTTTCTTCATACATATTGTGTTAGTCAGATGACTGATTAATATTAATGAAGTGCACTTATATATTACCTTTATACCATTCTGGAGGCCTGAGGCCCACGAATTTTGACAGATCCGTAATCGTATCGTCATCGTCAAATGGGATGGTTCAAAAGTAGTAGGGTTGATGTCCTAATAGTTGACCAGCGCCTTTTACTACTTGAAACAGTGCAGCAGACTTGTTTCATTACGTATTTCAAGATCAAATATAGTAAATTATTATGTGAACTTTAGTATGTTCAGGGAAAACTTCATAGAATATCAAGTTATAAAAATATATATACATGTGCACAACTACTTGACCAGCAAACTCCAAAGCCTGACCTAGAATGTACCATTATGAAATTGACCATATAGAGCCGTGCGAATAAAACGAAATTTACAAAGCAAATCATGTTTTATCATGAAATTAAATTAACACTAGCGCAAGCTTTAAGAAGTCAACATAATTTTTCAAACAGTACCTAAATGGACGGGAATTGTCCATTTCTTTTATTGCATAAAAACTTCTCTCATTAGAGAGCGAAGGTGCATTTATTACTTCCACCACATCTTTTTGATGGTATCAGATTTTATCGGGATTTTCTGGCCATTTAAACGTATTTGCCAAGATAAAAATCATGGTGTTCATTTCAAATAAATCTGCTTCAACATTTTCAACAACCCCAAGATAAAATACTTATTAAATGATGATGACATTATTTCCTTTACGTATCCTTTTGCTCTTTGCAGATTAAATTAAAATTAATTAATCAGATTAGATTTAAGAGATTCGTTATCGGAATCCGATGTAGGTTCCCTTGTCTGCGTATTTTCATTTTCTTTATTTTCAGAGTATTAATTGTGTCACTTTCTGATTCACTGTCACTCTGAATAATAAGCAAGTTTTGTTTCTTTTTTATTGTTTTAGTTTTTGCTTTAATTTTGGTCGTTTTCTTCTCATCTCGCTTTCTTTTTCTCTTTTCTATATCTTCCAATTAGTTTTTCTTAACAATCAATGAGAAAAAAATAACAATTATCGAGTCGCCAATTTGCCTCCGGCTTATTTTAAAACGGCGAGGGTTTTTAAACGGAGGACGCCGTTGTAAAACGCGGAATCATACAAATTGCCTGCGACATATTTACAATCATAGATGCAACTACTTGCCCAGCTGCATTCAAACAGGCCATCATAGTAAGTTGCTACTTTTCATTAAAAAAACTGATAAATTTAACTCGACAAGCATTAGCAAAGGTACCTAAGGCTAACCATAGCAAGAAGGTCCAAAATTTATCACTGGTCGACTATTGGACAAGCATTAGTTTACTTTTTCCGGGCGGTTACCGCACTTAGTCTTAACTATTGGACCAGTGTGCGTGTCTCGAAATATTCCCAGCTTACTCCAGCCAGCCTATATTAGTCCAGAAGGAAAGCAGCCGACAGACTGCTGTAAGCTTCCGGAAGCGATTCTGGAGAAGTCATGCCCGTTGCTGATCGGCCACACTCCTGCATTCCATGATGACATGCTGTGGCGTTTCTTCTGCCTCCATGCATCCTCTGCCTAGGGGGCGTCTGTTACTCCTATTGCATATAGGTGGTTGTTTAGGGGACAATGACCAGTCAGGGTTTCTATAATCTTGCGAAGTTTGTCCCTATTTAGTCTGCTGCGAGAAGTCTCTTGTTTGCAGCCGGTACTGCGTTTTTCGTTTTCTGGCAACCTTCACCTGTTTTCCATTCTGTGAAGTGTGATTTCTGAGTTCTTTCACGCAGCCACGTTTTAATTTGAGCCTGAGGTATGGGCAGCAAAGGTTCCGACCATATACTTTTGAGACAGCTCTTCTCTTAGTTAATTCGTCTGCTGCATCGTTTCCAATAAGGTTTTTGTATCCTTTAATCCATTGCAGTTACCGTGTTGGTTACCGCAATGGATTGAAGTGCCTTGTGGCACTCCATTACTAGGACAGAGTTTATTGTATTGCTACGTAGGACTTGAAGCACGGATGCACTGTCACTGTGTGTAATGCCAATACACTCCTCCTGGAAGATTGTGCTTAGTTTGTCTATGGTTGTAGATATTTTTATATTCAGGTCGTTCGAGAAGACACCGGTTCCAGAACTACTTTTGGTTTTGGAGCCATCTGTGTATATCCTAACTTCCTCGGCGCCAGAGTAATCTGCCTTTTCCATGTTGGATGTCGTATCTTCGATCAAGACGTGTTGACCCAATATTCTGTCCACAGGTGCCTCCGGGAGTGGGATCTCCTTCATGCACGTTTGTAGAATATTGGAGTGTGTTGTTATAGTGTTTTATCTCTGTAAGTACAGAGACCTTAGTCTCAAGTCCGCTGCTTTCGCCTCTACTTGTATGACCGGGTCTGGGAGTCTTAAGTTCAGGAGGTACTCTAATGCAGCCGATGGAGTTGTTCTCGCATCCAGTTACTGCTACGCTCGCCAAGTGTTGTAGACTTTGGAGTTTGGATTTTACTATACGTCATGCTGCTATAACAATCAAAGTCGAAATTTTAACAATTGAATTAGTCGCTAATTTGCCTATTGTTGTCGGCATATTTTAAAACAGCGAGCGTTTTTAAATGGACGACGCCGTTTGTAAAACGCGGAATCATACTAATTAATAATAATAATGTATTTATTTCTCTAAAGAATGGTTACAAAGTCTTATATTATAAAATACAAAGTATAATTGCCTGCGACATATACATATAACTATATAATGTTATCTTTTGTACCTTTTTTTACAGACTTGACTATTGGTAATTTGTATTATAATTATATTGCGAAAATAAACTAATAAATTTATTATAGATAGTTTGTTAAAAGTTTATCATTGAAAGATGTCAGTTTTTTTGCAGAATATTTTAATTATTGGTTAGGTACCTACGTGAATAGGAAAGAACCAATCAGCGCAAATAACACTTTTAGTGCCACTGAAAGGCAGCTCGGCTGCTTAACATAGTGGACCTTGCAAAATATCAATAAAATAAAAAGATACTAAGAGCGACTAGTGAAAAATTATTGAAGATCCTCTTTATAAAAAGAAACCTTTCAATATTACCCGTAAAACCTTATAAATATAATTTAAGCTTATAGCTAACTGGATATTGTCATCAAATTTTTGACGAAGATTTTTTTTTTTCGATGGGTTTGATGCAGAATGTGAACTTCGCAAGATGCGCACCTTTCTAGAATATGGCTAAATGTGATGCGTAACAAAGATCAGTCCCAAAATAAAAATAAAGTGTTCTGCATGAGTAATGGGTATATTTATAAATAACTATGTATTAGGTTGAATGCCTCTATTATTTACAAATAATAAGTAGAAATATTTAACTGATAATCCAAACTTAGTCTCGACTTAATAACTTAATATTTTTAATAATGATTTTTTTACTTGGTAACATTATTTTATTTTGAATACACAATACCCATCATCATCATCATCATCAGCCTATTAATGTCCCCACTGCTGGGGCACAAGCCTTCCCTATGGATGGAATAGGGAGATTGGGCCATGAATAAAATACAATAATAATAATATCCATACAGAACCATATTTTATTATTTTGGGATATATATATACTACACACAGCACATTAGCCATACCCTAGAAAAATGCGCATTTTGCGAAGTTAACATTTTGAGAAATTGTCATTTTGTGAAATACACATAATGGGAAAAGCCCCTGGTGAGAAACGCACCTACTGCATCTATGCTTTGAGCAGAATGCTCATTTTGCGAAGTACATATTCTGTCTGCGTCAAACCCTTTTCTCTTTACCGTCATTACCATTTAATTAAAATTGTAACAATTTAAATTATGAACTTATTAACTTACATTCATATTAAAACTAAAAATCTTCCTATTACCTATTATTAGTACCTGGTCTACTCATACACGTAATTATAATAAATCTTCAATCATAAGTGCTGTAATATCACGGGTTATTTTTCCAAATTGCAAAGTAGTTTTGTTCAAATTTAGCTTCAATTTCCTTTCCTTTAAATCCAATGCTTGTTTTACTATCAATCTATTAAAATTAATTGTATTTGGATGATTCAAAAACTCATCTATTCCCATCCATTGGCATTCCTTGATTTCTATATCTGACTTGCATATTTTATCAGAAGTTGCTTTGAGCAATACAACAACATATATATCTGAATTACCAAACATTGCATTATGAGTGTGTCTAAAGGTCACAAGTGATTCAAATACTGCGTCAACACCGGTTTCTTCTTTTATTTCTCTCACTGCTGTATCTTTTAAGTCTTCACCTGTTGATTTATATCATAATTAGTATAAGTTTGTCTACAAGCTTGTTTTTGAAGTGCTCATAAGTGTCGAACCACACAGCGTTGTTTGCGCATTCATTGTTTCATAGATTTTTTTACGCGTAACTTGGACTAGTATGAACAGTGTGTAGAAATTCTATGAAATACAATGTAGGCGCGTAACACAATGCAAAATTTGTCGCTGAAGCTGCGTAAGACTAACTGGACGACCGCAGGTGCGTAGTGAGGCAAAAGCACTTCTAAAATTTAAAATTCGCAGTAAAAAAAATCTTTTCAGATAAAAGCTGTTAATTAAATTAATTATCGAAGTCCCTAAAACGCACAGCAGTCGAACAGTTCGAATACGATCTAGACACTAGATATAATCGTTTTGTTAATATCATCACAAATGAGGCAAAATCTTACTTCCAAAGGCCTAAAAAGAAAAACCATAATGTTTCTGACGAAATTAAAATCTTGTTAGAAAAGCGCCGGCAGATAGCTTCTGATGATTTCAATAGTGAAGAACACCGTGACTTAAACCGTAAGATTAATAAAACCCTGAAACGCGACATACGAAACAATAACACGAAGAAAATACAAGACCTCATTGAACAGAACAGAGGAATGAGAGTGTTTCGTAAAACTGGTGGAGTAAATCAAGTTAACATCTTACGTAATGAGCGTGGCATCCTAACATCGGATAAAAAAAAGGTCAATAGTATACGTAAGATCACCGAAGACTTTTATACAGAACTGTATGCATCCACAGTATCAAAACCCTCGCGTTTCGATCCTTCCGATAAACGTGTCCCACTACATCGACACTATACTGAAGACATTCCGGAATTCAGTGTATATGAGATAAGACAGGCACTGAAACAATTAAAGAAATATAAGGCACCGCGGGAAGACGGGATAACTACAGAACTGCTTAAAGCGGGTGGAAGTGCTATCGCTAGAGAATTATAGATGCTGTTCAACGATGTTCTCTTTACAGAAGATATACCAACGGACTGGACAAAAAACATAGTTGCGCTGTTTCACAAAAAAGGAGATAAATCCCTCTTAAAAAACTATAGGCCGATATCTCTTCTGAGCCAGATATACAAAGTGTTTCCAAGAGTACTAACCAGCAGATTAACATGGCGCTTAGACGAACAACAGCCGATAGAACAAGCAGGCTTCAGGAAAGGGTTCGGGACGACAGACCACATATTCACATTGAGAAATATCATACAGAAGGCAGAGGAATACAACAGGCCATTATTCTCAGGGTATGTAGACTACGAAAAAGCATTCGACTCCGTGGAGCACTGGGCTGTAAATCACTCTCTGCGAAGGTGTCATATCGACGATCGTTACATACAAGTTTTAAAAAATCTGTATAATTCAGCAACGATGACTGTACAGCTACAACAACACACAAACCCCATCCCGATTAAACGAGGAGTGCGCCAAGGTGACGTTATTTCACCAAACTATTTACAGCTGCATTGGAGGACGTTTTCAAGACGTTAGATTGGGATGGCAGGGGCATTAATATTAACGGTAGCTTCTTGAACCACCTTCGTTATGCGGATGATATTGTAGTCATAGCCGAGTCGGCGGAAGACCTCCAGGATATGCTTGTCGAGCTGTACCACGCATCACTCAAGATTGGGCTAAAAATGAATATGGAGAAGACTAAGGTGATGGCAACAACAGACCTCTCACAAAATCCCTTATCATTAGAGGGCAAACCACTTGAGCAAGTGCAGCAATACATATATTTAGGACAAGTCATCAAGCTCGGTAGGGATACGCTGCAAGCTGAGATTGACAGAAGAATACAGCTGGGATGGGCAGCCTTTGGGAAGCTGCAATGTGTTTTTAAGACCAAGTTACCCCAGTCATTGAAACCCAAGGTCTTCAATACGTACGCTTATGAGACATGGACCCTAACTGCGGGAATCATACGTAAATTACAAGTCTCCCAGAGAAGTATGGAACAGCGTATGCTCGGCATCAGCCTGCGTGACAGAATAAGGTACACGATCATTAGAAGCAAAACTCGAGTGATGGATATCGGATACCGGGTCGCAAAGCTAGAATGGTCGTGGGCCGGGCATCTGTGCCGCCGAAATGATGGTAGATGGAGCAAAAGCGTTCTGCAGTGGAGACACCATGAGGGCAAACGGAGCGTAGGGAGACCTCCAGCCAGATGGTCCGATGACATCCGTGACTCCGCAGGACATCTATGGCACCAACGGGCCTCAGACCATGCCAGGTGGAGACATATTGGAGAGGCATATGCCCAACGGTGGGCAAATTAATGCTGTGAAGTAAGTAAGTAAAAGCTGTTTTGTTTTTATTAAGTAGAGTTTTTTTTATTGTTACGGATTTTACTGATGATGAGTCTGATTCTGAAAATTACCATTACCTCTTTCAACATAGCCTCCAGGAAGTTTCCAATGCGCAATCTCTGTGTGCTTCTCGATCACTACTAACATTTGGTTTTTGTCATTGATTACCAAACCTCCCACTCCGAGATTGGTATGGGAAGATGGTGGTAAATTTGCTAATGTATCCAATGGTAGCCATTTATACATCATAACAAAATTATCTCGTGCATGGTGAAATGTGAATCCATTCTGAAATATAATAGAACATGTTTAGGGTCATTCAATTAAGCAGTGATTTATTAAAATTTCAGTATCTAATCATTTTACCATACATCAGCTAATATTGGAACCCAAGCAGCATGCTTGATATTGACTCTAAACCAAATGCATCTTTTTTTTTCTTCAATCCATTTTTGTAGCGAAACTATAAAAAAAAAGACAACAAAATCTCACCAAATAATGAAGATGCTGCAGTGGGATTTCAATGTAGTGCTAAACTATATTTTTTTGTTAATTTAATTCAGTTAAAAAAAGAACAAACCTATACAAAAATACAAATACCATGCAGGCTTTAGACTACCCAATTTTAAGGGATCCTTACCCTGACTAAGAGGTGGTGTAAATTGAGTAAGGGACCTTATCTAGGGCGCTCTGCGCGACCCGATCTCCTTTACTCCTTCCTTACGCCCTGACAATTGGGTAATGAAAACGCTGTTAGGCAGTAAGGGAGCTCAGTCGACGCTCTGAGTGCATATAGTACATCACTGAATCTTTGTTTCATTTCAAATCATTCATTTCCATGGAGCAAATAAAACTAAATGTTATGTAGCATTTTTCAGAAATTGCGTGAAGCCACTGATAGGGAAAGCACTGTAGGGATGAAAATGATCTTCGCAACAGTACAAAACACTTTAGCTTGCAATAAGTTTTTTTTTTGTCTCTACTCATTATATTACACCAATTTTTTTGTTATCTTTGCATCTCTCAGAACAGAAAAAATAGTTTATTAGATGTAGTGATGGTAGTATTTTTGCATTTAGGCACAATACAATATTTGTATGATGACATTATAATCAAATGAACTACATAAATACATAAGACAGTGTACAAATCAAGTATTCGTACAGATTACGCTGCTGTTCAAAACGCACAGTGAACCGATCATTTCAGATGACTTCACAGAGAGTCACTTTCTCAGGCGTGTTTAGGACACTAATGCACTGAAGTTGCTGTATCTTTGTCATTTTTAGTCCAATTTAGATAATTTTTTCACAGTATTTACTGTATTTTTTGTCATTATAATTCTGCAAATCACATAACTAATCTTCACTGCAACTTTATTCCAAAATAGGCAAATTGTGTTTCTAGCTTGATTTCAAAGTAAAATGACAGTACTTTAAATTAAATTGTTATATATAACATATTCACTATTAATAAATGTGTATAGCCTTGGTAGTTGTAACTTTTAAATGTTTTGAGAAAATCAAATTAGTTCCAGGCTTTGCTGTTGTGTGTATAATATGATTATCTCACTGCCTCTGGTGGTGGTATTGACACCTTGACCAACTTTATAGGGAGTACCTATCTAAATTTTTTTTTTGTTCTGTGGCTGTTTCCGTTTAATATTATCTAAATGATTGTATTTTAATACAAAATAGGATATACTGTACTTCCAGGGCCCAAAAGTAAAAACTTCAGTTTTGTTGGTTGTAATTTCGCATTTTTGTTGTTAAAAAGGTTTCTGTTAACCACATTATTAAAAAAAATGCCACACTTATGCACTGGTAGTTTTTTAGAAAAAAATATTATTTTTTTTTACTTTTCTTATCAAGTGGTCATACTTCACACTAGGTTAGGTTAGGTTAGTGTTGTGACCATAACGCGCGAGCCGAGCGAGCATAGCGAGCGCGCCGCGGCAGCGGCCGGCGAAGCGCCAGAAAAAAAATCTATTAAAAAGACCTTTTCTCCAAAAAAAAAACGAGTATCACCTTTTGGGCCCTGGAAGTACAGTTTTACCACAAAATATTTTGATCACTTTTTGAGCCCAATTCTGGCATGACTCTCTAACCTTAAATTAAATTTGACAACAGTATATCCCTGTCATGTTCTATGCAGAATGTTAGTCTCTGCTGCAGAAATTTAATTTTAACTTTAAAGTTTAGGGAATCTGCCAGAATCAATAGTCCCTTATTTTCTGAAGAAACTTACACATACCACACAACAATTTTGAAAACTGCTCTATGTCACAAAATTCTTTATTAGAATCTATAGTAACACCATTATATCTATCCACAACACCTTGAAAAATATGTGTATCCATTGTTTTCGTTATTGCAGAACAATACAATATCGTTACTGCTTTCGTTCGACGATTGGTGGATATATATAAAAAGTACTCTTTGGTGGATGGATTTCTACTAATTGCTTTCTTTACTCACTCTACACAATGGCACAAATATTGAATTTTGCACTGAGCAATCAATTTTGTAAATCGAATTGAATCGAATTCTGATTCTGAACTTATCGGAATTCTGACATTCCAGCGGTATTGCCAGCCAATAATAAAACATCATTTATTATCTATTATATGTGACTGTGACTCTGAATCAGTACTGCCAAGAGGGCCGGTAAAAAGAATAAAAAAATCTATACATCCATACATATAAATAAAATTGAAGTGTCTGTTTGTAATATTGAAATAACCGCTTTTTACTACATTTATGTACATGTATATACTATATGAATATATATACGGTACATACACCAAAATAACTTTTTTTTTAAATCTGTTTGTTCCCGTTAATCTCGGTAATGGCTGGACAGATTTTGAAGGGACTTTTATTGACAGGTAGCTGATGTAATAAGGAGTAACTAAGGCTAACTTTTATTTAAAAGAAGTATTTTATTATATATTAATAAAAAATCTTTTATTAATAAAATAAAAAAAAAACTAAAAGTTAACGCGGATGAAGTCGCGGGCGGCCGCTAGTATATACTAAAAGCTACAAATTTGTAAGGCCTAAAGAAAGAGTCTTACATAACTGACACATGTCAGCAATGAGAGATAGAGGTGGCATTATGTCAAATAGGTAACGCAAAGTGTACGAGACGACCGCTTTACGACCGAAGCGAGAAGAAATGAACTTACGACAATATGAGATTGATTTATAAAATGTATCTTTGATTTCACATGTATCGGTTGTATACACATTAAAAATATCATTCCCTTGTTGTCTTATTAGAATGAGTCGGATATCGCAATAATAGATAGCTTTGCCCATAGTAAACCATTGTAAAATTGATAGTTCAGAGCGATATTCCGTCTCGTTCTCTCCAACAATCTTATAAGAATTTGTCTAAACGATTGCCACGACGCCAAGCGGTGGCGCGGGGAAACTAGTTAGAATATTGATAGTTCCGACCTATAGGAGGGACAGAGACGATAGGCTGTCCTTTTCTCACATCTTATAAGATTTTGCCTGAGTTGATAGTTTTCGATAATAGTATGTTTTATGTTTCGATTTACTTGTTTTATATCTTATTAGGAAATAGGTAGATATAAGAGTAATATATCAAAGTTTTGTGTAAATCGTATTAATAGTTTAGGCATAATTGAGGAAAAAATCAAATATAGTTTTTTACGAATAGTCGATAGGATATAGGTATAATTGTAATGATAATGATGTTGTTTTGTGTGTTTTTACTTCCTCTATAAAATGATATATGATAGTTAGGCATTAAGTGAATGTAAGTAGGTTTTTTAAGACTTTTTTTTTTGACGTGACAACGTCTTAAATTAGGTTGCGGCTGGGAGTCACTTATGAAAAAGTGTAACGCTCGGTAACGTTACGATGAGTCTCTCGTGTTAAGTTTAAGTTTACATGTACAATGTTTTAGTAAACAAAATATATTTCTATAGTTAAAATTTGTGCAATTCTTATTTTCATTCAATTCCTTGTTCCTATTGTGCAATTTAATTATATTCATATCAATAAATATTCTACCGAGAAAAAGACGTTGTCACGTAAAATCTTCGCCCGTAAAACCGACTTTACAGGCAACCATTTTTTTTAATTTGTAATCTTTAGAGTAGAGCTGTTATTTCTTAATATTCTTATTAGAAACTTATTGTATTAGGTAGATAACGCATAGGACTACATAAATAAATAGGCATCACATCAATAAATGTAGAAATGTACCGTGTAGGAGACAAAATCTGTTTGTATAGAACGGTTTTCTAAGACATGTTGCGCTCCCCACCCGGCGCGCCCGGAACGCGCGGGTGGGGCAGCGGAGCCCCGTGGCAGGGCGAAGCCCTATGGAGGGGGAAAGTATAAATATTGCAGAGACCTATTTTTTGCGCGCCACACCTAAAATATCATGCTTACGGATACATAACTGTGTTAAAAATATGCCTATATATATGCCCGATGTATGTACAATTAGTTTTAAGCTCGCACTAATGTAATTTTTGAGAAAATGAAAAATAAAGTATAGCGGGGGTGAGGTAATGGATCGCTGGCCAGCTCAGTCCTAGCATATAAAATTCGAGTCGGAACATGCTCCGACATGCATTCAGCGACAGGCGCTCCTACCCTAAGGAACAGGAAGAAACACCAAGCGGTTCACTCTGGACCTGAAGCCTCCTCTCACCGGCCATTCATTATTAGCGCCCACCGATTTCTTCAATACCGAACACCAGGGGTTTTATTCGCCGAAACTACAGTCCACTACAGTCAAGACTCCTGCGTGTAACTTCCTCCACCCCTCAGTACGAGTCGGTAACTATCCGCTACTGCGACAGCCCGGCGTCCCGTACACAAAGATTTAAATCTTTTCCCCCCCAAATATCTCCCCATCGCTTTAAAAAAACCCCCAAATTCCATTCCCCCCAATCTGGCATCAGTAACCAAAAGGTACTGTTATTTCACTGTAGTCTTCTGTAAGGTAGAGGTTGTTGCCCCAGACGGACGCTCCAATTCGAGTGGAAAATTCGCTGTGCCCGTTTTTCTTTGTTATTTTACGTAATATGTGATTATTTTTAATACAAAGAGATGTTTTATTTAGTGGCGAAATCGCAACAGTTCATTTAATTTAAACCTTACATTTGACATGCTTAAGAATGTACGACTCCGATGTGGTCACATACCTTTAAATAGCTTTGGGTATTTGACGAGAAAAGTGAACTCTCCAAATTGTACTTAGTGTGAGATGGTCGAGGGTGCGTGGCATGGCATGTGATGGTTGTAGTAGAAACATACCACTTTTTTAACTAATTCCCGGAGCTGACAGTAATGGATGTTGGATTATATAATAGCGTGGGAGACCAGTTAATGGCTCCTTTCTAAAACAAGGAAGGTTTTGTTTAAAATCGTATCAATCTGTATAAGAAGACAATGAATATTAAAACGATATGTGTGACATGGGCTATAAAAGACAAAACCCTTTAAAATAAGGAATTAAAAAAAAGAATGTACATAAAAAAATACGAGATTTTTAGCTGCTTAAATACGAGGAAAAAAATCTAAGGTTGGCAACCCTGTAGCAGAGTCACAGTGGTGTCAATTCTGACACGATTCTCTAAACCTAAACTTAAATTTGACAACAGTGTATCCTTGTCATTCTCTATACGGAATGAAAAGGAGAGATTGATGTTAAATTTAGTAAATAAAACTAGTTTTTACGGGTTAATGCACGAAACTTTATTTATTTATTGACGTTTCGCAGCCTTTTCAGGTCTGCATCGTCAGAATAATGATTTTATTTAAAATTGTCGAGCTACCTTCGAAAGAATTATATTGTGCGTTCGGTTAAAATTACAAACAAGAATTTTAAATAAAATACTTTATTAAGTAAATTAAATAATAAATTCATACATAGACAATAAAAATTTTAAAAATCTTCCAATGAAATAACCGAACGCACAATATAATTCTTTCGAAGGTAGCTCAACAATTTTAAATTAAATCATTATTCTGACGATGCAGACCTGAAAAGGCTGCGAAACGTCAATAAATAAATAAAGTTTCGTGCATTAACCCGTAAAAACTAGTTTTATTTAATGAGTGATGTGCGTGAAAACCTAAGAAACAAATATGTTAAATTTAGTTTTAAGTTTAGAGAATCCCGCCAGAATCGATACGAGTACCTCCACGGTCCACGGGCAGAATAAAGCCCGTCACAGACGTAGCTATAATATATATTAATATAAATCATAGCAAGACATATTACAACATATTTTCAATATAAATTTTCGAGTGACCGCACACGCAGCTATAATATATATTTCTATGACGTCACCAAAATATGTCGACAGATATATTTTGGCATATTACTGTATATTTTGGTATATTAATATATATTTTGATATATTAATATATATTTTGATATATTTTTATGGTACGGTATGTTCCATTTTTCACCGAACGCCTGCCAAAATATATATTATAGTACAGCACCCGTCTGTGGTAGTTTCTTTAATAAAATATCTCGATATATGAATATATTATAGCTACGTCTGTGACGGGATATATTTTGGCATATTAGTATATATTTTTAATACGGAATGTTCAACTTTTCACTGAACGCCTGCCCGATCTCCGGCTCAAGCCCGTCACAGACATAGCTATAATATATATTAATATGAATCATAGCAAAACATATTACTACATATTTTCAATATAAATTTTCGAGTGACCACACACGCAGCTATAATATATATTTCTATGACGTCACCAAAATATGTCGACAGATATATTTTGGCATATTAGGGTATATTTTGCCATATTAATATATATTTTGATATATTTTTATGATACTGCGATGTTCCTTTTTTCACCGAACGCCTGCCAAAATATATATTATAGTACAGCTCCCGTCTGTGGTAGTTTGTTTAATATAATATCTCGATATATTAATATATATTATAGCTACGTCTGTGACGGGATATATTTTGGCATATTAGTATATATTTTTAATACGGAATGTTCAACTTTTCTCTTAACGCCTGCCCGATCTCCGGCTCAAGTGCGCACGAGCATTTCTCCCCCACCCTCCCTCTCCTAAAATACTGTGCAAATTTATTGGATGACAAAATAAATTCACCACAAGTTTTCTTTTGTTTTATATGCGACTCTACCCAGATGGTTATATTTTTCGTTCCTGACAAGGCAACATGCATATCAAATTCAGCATCGGAATCATCCTCTGAGGAACTTTCAATTAAATCTAAAAGTAGTGCTCTTGTCGAATTCATTTCATTCATTCATTGTAAGATTGATTATAACGTTATTTCAAAATTAAAACACCCTGTGCTAGAAAATAAGCTTTAAAACCGTGCGCTTGCAAAAACGACCGCAGACCGAGTGAGGGCAAAATATATATTATAGTATAGCTCCCGTCTGTGGTAGTTAGCTATAATATAATATATATTTCGATATATTAATATATATTATAGCTACGTCTGTGACGGGCTTAAATAGAAAAAAAAGTGTCACAGAGTACAAACTTTTTTTAATGTAGAGCGCACCGCACAGTTTAGCGGAGTCAATGAGCGGAGTGCAAAATAAATTGTGCGCAAAATGTTTTGCAAGACAATATTTCGATCAAATATAATTTTAGAACTAGTAAATAGTTCGAAACGGTATGTTATTTATTCTCTTCGTCTATAAAAAGTTTAAGTAAATGAATAAATAAACTGTATTTTACTAAAAAAAATATTTTACAGATGTCCCATACGTCTAGCACAATATTCAATAGGAACCAATTACCAAAATATAGTTTTTAAAGGAAACGTTGACAGGTATAAAGGTATCACTATAGACTCTACAAAAGAAAACTTTAACCAAGACTTTGAAGTAAAACTTACAGGTAAACTTTATCGTTAAATAAATACAATTAAAATTGTCTGCACATTCTTAATTACTCCTAATTAAAAAAGAATCTGCAATACCATCACTAGTATTATTATGTTCACAAATAATTTTAAAATATAAAATTTTTAGAATCCCTAAAATTTTGGAACACCGAAGGCAAACAATGTGTTTGGTTTAAAGTCAATATAAAAGACTCAACTTACATTCCTGTTCTTGCTCAAGTAAGTATTGTGATTTTTCTCTTGAAAAAGTAGGTAGATAATACCTACATATTTTTGAATTTCTACATATTTTTAAATAAGAGCTTACATTCATAGAAAGGTTTTAATTTTCATCATGCCAGAGATGACTTTGTGATGATGTACAAGTGGTTACCAAAAGATTCTAAGCCCAATCTACCACCACCTTGCCATACAACATTGGGTGTAGGTGCTATGGTTTTCAATGAGAAGAACCAGGTGCTAGCTATATCAGAGAAGCACTATGAATACCCACACTGGAAGCTCCCAGGGGGTTATGTAGAAAGAGGTAAGAATTGAAGATTTTAATAAATGAGAAAATTCTTTCTCCGTATACCATTAGGTAGGTAGGATGGTGACGAACTAATGATGGGGCTTACAAAACACAGTTCTTTTACTGCAATATGTGGCTGCCAACATTGCCAGACAATGCAATCACAACTTTAAGTGAAACTGCATATATAAGCCTGTTTCATTTTAAATTCCTTTATTATGAAATGAACAGTTCCAGAATGATGTGTGTGCCCTATGTAATATATCACTGGTGGATTGTAGATATTGCAATGTAACATTCCGGCTAGCTGCATTAAAATTGGTATCTCTATGAGTTATGATGTGTTATGGTGCATAGGCAATAAGCCAGATTGCATTATGGCTTGGCTTAATGATAGTCCTCCCTTATTACAACATTGTATCACTGCATGGAATGTATTTTAATTAGTTGATTAAAACATAATTGAAACAGAAATACAAATCCTAAACTCAATGCCTTATTGCCAACATTTATGGTTACAGGTGAAGATATTATAGATGCTGCTAAGAGGGAAGTAAAGGAAGAGACTGGTGTGGATGCTGTCTTTCAGTCATTGATCACATTTAGACACTCTCATGATATGATGTTTGGAAATTCAGACATATACTTACTGCTGATGATGTCTGCAATTAATGATAAAATATCTATAGCCCAATCCGAAGTTATAGCCTGTCAATGGATGAATATAGATGATTACATTAGTCACCCTCATGTCCATGCTTTGAACAGACTTGTTATAAAACTTGCTCTTGAGTACACAAATAGGAACTTAAAACTTAATTTGCGTAAAAAGAAAGTAAAATGGGCCACATATGAAAGAGACATGAACTATTTATCATTAGAAGAATTAAGTTAGCTAACATTTAAAAAAATGCTTGTATTATTATGTCTTTATTTTTTATTATTATAATGTAAATAAAAATTCAAAATTTCTTGCAATGCCTGATTTAAAATAAGTTACTAATACTAAGTACAAACTTTGTTACATTGTAATATATTTTGTTACCTCCTTTGTGCTCCTATCATTTCATAATATTGAAACAGTTGATACACAATGCTTCGTTGTCCTCATCCTATCCTAATTGTGGTCATGCACCACAATTTAAACGGATGACTAAAGAACTTCCCTTTTTGCTTCAATCTAAAGGAAAAGGAAAAATAAAATATTTCTGTTGTTCTCTTCTCTTAATGCAGCCACCATGAAGGGGTAAGGGGTAAGTACCTACTACAGGAACGAATAGAAATACTTACCTATATACACATCACAGACTCTAGTACAAATGGTTCTTCTAACAAACATTTGGCCCCATTGGGAATCGAACCATTCTTACAAACATTTGCCGCTACCGGGATTCGAACCCATGAACTCTTAGTTTCTCACAGACAGACGTAGGCTGCGGCCGCGGCGGGCGTGGCGGCCAGTTGTATTCGCTTGCATTATAAGCGAGTGTTCAAACACGAGCGACCAATAAGGGCTGGCTGTGGCCGCAGGCTGCCTCTGTCTGTGAGACCCTTTAATTAGAATATTCTTGTCAACAGGATGGCGGCTCACATTGAAATGGACTATCACCACTGCTATTGCCCCTGGTCCCAGCAACAATTCAAAACTGAAGGTGCTCCCCTCACGGCCTCGCATTTGCCTAGTAATTTTACCTTACGGATTCAAGCATCATATCTGTCGAAAATGGATAAAACCGTTATATGCTATTTAGAGATATACCTAATTATATACCGTAACATAGGTATACGAAAGCGATTTTACGCTCGCAATATAGTAATATGTTTATCTGACTAATCTAATGTGGTTAAATAGTTATAAGTGGCCACAGAATCATACTACCTAGTTTATGATACTGTTGCATAATAAGGGTTCTTATAACATGAGTGTTTTAAAAAAACGAACCTACGGCTCGTTTTTTTATAGTATTTATAACACTCGTGTGATAGACCAAGTTATGTACAGTGTCATACACTACTTTATCTACTCTCATACTATAATACGTAAAACAATATTGCAAATAAAACGCTGAATATAACAACAAGTTTATTTTTACTTGTAATAAAACATTGAAACCCGTCAATGTTTCTCCAGTAATGCATATATGTAAATATTAGAGATGTAACGACTCGACTCTTCAAACCGGTTTGAGCATAGACCAAGTGGATCGTGGCATTCGTTTGCAATGCGCTGCGCCCATGTCAATTCTTGTTTATGCCGCCATCCACAAATCGCGCGCGGCTCCTGACGTGCTTTACCGACCGACCAATACACACCGACTTACAGCAGCGGATACGTTTAGCGCAACAGCCATAACCAACTTACCGACCGAACCGAAGTGAAACGGACTCTGGTAGATTTGACTGATTTGACGGTGTAGTTTTGTTTTCATTATTATGTAATATGCGACATAATCGCCTAGCTTCTAAAAAAGTAGACCAAATATTATTCCTAAATAGTTTATATATATTTTTTAGTATTTTTTTAAACACGGTATTACATAGATATCTGTTTTAATTGATATTTTTTTATTTTGACATTTTTAATTCTGATTTTCCAATTACCTTTAAATATTTGCACGTTGTAATATCAACAAAATATGTAGAATAAAAAAAAATTAACACCTGTTGTTTCATAAGTTTCATTCGTCAACTCGTCAAACGGTTCAAACCGGTTCAAATCGCGGTTTACTGAAAATTTGGCGGTTCGGTTCGAAAACCGATTTGCATGTATTGCTAACCGATCAAATCCGGTTTGTCAAAATTAAAGACCGTAACATCGCTAGTAAATATAATTTCTACGCACAATTGTTAAACGGATACACACTACCGGACTTCCACAGACGAAAAGCCGAGCCAATCTGCACAATCAACCAATCCCGACCCACCGGGCCCCCGCCACACAAAGACGAAACTGTTAACAAACCTTTTAAAGTAAACAAATTAGCGCTAATCAATTTGAAGTAAAGAAGTTTAAGTAAATATGAGGAAAAGCCTATTTGCGTTACATGTGTGAGTATTAAATTCTAATCTACATACATAATCAAACAGTGTATAATTTAAAGGCGTTCTTGATTTTGCCTATTGATGTGTTAAATATATCAATAGTGGTAAGTTTGTATGCACGTCTTGTAAACATATTTTTAACGTAACATGTTCTATTTAATGGAATATAAAATAATTTTTTATCACGACAATTGCGTTCGAGTCTGCGAGGTACTATTAGATTTATTTTACTAAGTAAATAAGGAGCATCAACAAAGTTTTTTAGTATCTTATATAATAAAAGTGCGTCGACACAGTTTCGACGCTCTTCGAGAGTCTGAATATGATAGTGAGATAGTGACATGTGTATAACTTGGTTGAACGTAACAATTGCGATAGTTTACTGATTTAATGATTTTTTTCTGAACCCTTTCGATTCTATCGATATGTTTCCTACAGTATGGTTTCCGCACTGCGCAAGCATACTCTAATCGACTACGGACAAAACAATTAAAAAGTGTTTTATATGTAAAATCTTTTTTGAAAGGTTTACTAACGCGGAGAATAAAGCCAAGCTGTTTGTAAGATTTGTTTATAATTGAATCTAGGTGCGGTAAGAAAGTTAGTTTACAATCCATTAAGACACCTAGGTCGCGGATTGGTATAAGCTCGTTGTAATGCTGTATTTGCCAAAGTATATTTAAAGTTATTCATTTTCTTTTTTCTTGTAAAACTAATAATATGATATTTTTCAAGGTTAAGAAATAGATTATTTGTATTGCAATAATGTTCAAATTTAAAAAGATCGTGTTGTAGCAGTGTACAATCATTGGCGTCACGAATAATTCTAAATATTTTAGTATCATCTGCGTAAAGTAAAACACCAGAATGTAGAATGCTATTAGTTATGTCATTTACATATAATATAAACAATAATGGCCCCAAATGGGAACCTTGGGGGACGCCAGAATGAATATATTTGAATTCCGAGCAATATCCAGAGATTACAACAGCCTGTTTTCTTTTCTCTATGTAAGACTTTACCCATCGGAATAGATTACCATGTATACCAAGTCGCCAGAGCTTTTTTAACAAGGTACTATGGCAAATTTTGTCGAACGCTTTGGCAAAATCGGCATACACGGCATCTACCTGGAACCCGTCATTCATAGCTTCTAGTACAAATTCGGTGAAATTAAGTAAATTAGTTTCCACAGAACGACCCTTGTAAAAGCCATGTTGACAACAAGACACATGACGGCGAACCACCCTAGATAGTTGGTCAGTAACAATTTTTTCAAGTATTATTCAAATGACATAATTTAGAAATAGGTCTATATTTTTCAATGTCTGAACTGACTTTACCTTTAGGAACTGGAGTAACCCAAGCCTGTTTCCAAATCTCCGGCATACAACCTTCCCTCAAGGATTTTGTAAATAAAATAGTGATTGGTAACGTAAGAGTTGAAGAACATTTTTTTATAAATAACGGGGGGATACCATCAGGACCTGCTCCCTTGTTTATATCAATTGATTTCAGATAATTAAAAACAATGTCAGTGTCTATTTTTATAGAGTGCATATCAATGATAGGGTCAACAGGCGGTGGCTCAATATCGTCAGATTCAAAAGATAATTCGTTAGACTTCTAAAAAACAGAGTAAAAGTAATCGTTAAACAAGTTACAAATAATTTGCCCATCAGAGACCGTTGACCCTTTATAATTCATTGATTGTGGGAGCCCTTTATTAGAAGAAACAGACTTAACATAAGTCCAAAAATATTTAGGATGGGTGTTAATTTTTTCTTCCGAGAATGATATATAATTATTGTAACACTCTTTCATCATTTTTTCTGCACGTTTACGCAAGATTTTAAAACTCTGGTAATCTAAGGGGTTACCATATAATTTCCATAGCTTGTGAAATTTACGCTTTTCTTTCAAAAGTTTAGTCAATGCCCTACTGTGCCAAACTGGAACTTTAGTAGAATCATGAACTCGTCGTTGGGGCACAAATCTAGATACCAACCCGTTAATGATTTCGTAAATTTTTTTAACACAGTTTTCCGTATTTAAGTCTTGAAATAATATAGACCAATTTATACTACTTAATTCTGTGTTGATCTTCTCATAATCAGCACAATGAAAGTTACTAATAGTACTCCGAGATGGTTTTAACGAACTATAATAATTTACTTTTGAATGTAATGATAATGACCTATGATGGCTGTCCTCAGCCGTAAGCGGGTGATCGCAGGCTACTATACGACAATCCTCATTTGAAAATATTAGATCTAGTATGCGACCATTGACATTTTGTACTGAGTTGTACTGTTTTAAATGGGAAAAGGATATGAAGTCACTTAAAGATTGTACCGCAAAGCTACTGTTATTAATTAAACGCATTTCACATGAGTTTGTGTCCGCCCAGACAGCGTTACAAACATTAAAGTCTCCAGCTATTACAAACGTATCGTTAGGTCGATCTATCATTATTTGACTAGCAATATCAAAAAAAGAAGAAAGTGTATCCTTATATCCGGGACCCTGTGGTAAATATATACACGCAATATTTAGGAACTTTGTTTTAGAAGCATGCGTCAATGACACAGTCGCCGGTATTCCCGGTGCGAGCGCGGTAGTGGCTCCGTCATAAGCGAGCGGGAGCGACACCCACAGGCAGTCGGAATGTGCTCGAGAAGGCACGGGCCGGTCGCGGCGGAGCGGGCGCAACGCCGCTCGCACGGCGATGGCCGCCCCGCCGTCACTCGCCGCCCTACTCTCAGCCGCCGAGCGATCGCAGCGAAACACACAATACCTTTCATCAAAAAATTCACGATCATAAAAATTAGAAGAAAGCCATGTTTCAGTGACACAT